TCACAACAAAAAATCCATAACCCCAATACCCCAAAACTGGGGCAGAAGTTTGTTTTATTTTTATGGTAATTATATAAAAAGGTTCCAAAAGTTGTAATTCAGTTCAAGGTTCTTTTCACCTTTTCTCGTTAAGACCTTCAATTTGACCTTTGAAGAATGCTAAAGTCACCATGCCAAGGGTGTTGGACAACCTGCCGCATGCAGTATCTTAGTCAAGGGCAACGAGACTAACAATAGTTTTTTCCCATAATTGTTCTTTGAGTCCCTTTTGGTCTAATCTTGCATTAAAAACGAACCAAAGAAATGGCTTCAAAACTGACTACAGTTTCCCCGTAATACTAAGCACAATTTTGGGCATATGAGGCATTGACGAAGGCAAGAATCCATTTGTGATCTCTTTTGATAAGACGAACAAAGTGTCTCAAAGAAACTCAAAAGACCGACTAAGCAAGACTGGCTTTATGGGAAAAGTTGATAAGCACCACAGACACAAACTAGTACTGGGTGCAAGACAACTAAGTTTGATTTTAAGGGGAAATTTCCTTTGCCTTAGGGACAAGGATTAGCGGTACCATGGACATCCGGGTACGAAACAGTCAGGGGCAACGTTGGAAAGCCAAGGCCTCCAGAAAGGTATATCCGAGCATCACGGTACACACAAAATTGGTTCTTCGATAGCAGTGGCCATGAATTCAAACTACTCGGGACATCAAGACCACAAACTGACCACCACTTTGAAAACTAACAAACTTTTCTTTGTTTGAAACAGGAACAAAGCAGTGTAGAATGGAGATTCTCAAAGGACGAATGTCACCAAATGAAAGTTCCTCAAACTCTCCATTTTTCTTTTATTTTTAGCATGCATCCCTATTTTTCATACAAACCATTTTCATTGCTTAACCCAGGTAGAACATTTTAACCTAGGGGGATCCAGCTCATATTTCCTAGTAGAAGTACTCTTCGCTTAAGCTATTTTACGTAACTTAACCCAGGTAGAACATTTTCGCCTAGGGGGGTCAAGCTCATATTTCCGGGTAGAAGTACTCTTCGCTCAAGCTGTTTTACTTAGCTTAACCCAGATAGAACCTTTTCGACTGGGGGGTATCCAGCTCATATTTCTAGGTAGAAGTACTCTTCGCTCAGGCTGTTTTACGTAGCTTAACCCAGGTAGAACCTTTTCGCCTAGGGGAATCCTACTTATATTAGTAATACATAGCACCAACCCGTGGTTACATTTCTTTTCAGTAATACGAGGTACCAACCCTTGGTTATACTTCCTTTCAGTAATACAGGGTACCAACACCTAGTTACATCTCCTTATCAGTGATACAGGGCGCCAACCTCTGGCTAAATTTCCTTTCAATAATACAGGGTACCGACCCCTGGTTACATTCCTACTCAGCAATACAGGGTAACAACCCTTGGTGACATTCTTTCCTAGTGATACAGAGCGCCAACCCCTGGTTACATTTCCTTCCTAGTGATACAGGGCACTAACCCCTATTAACATCTCCTTATTAGCTATACATGGTGTAGACATGTAATTTTTGACCCTCCCCAAGATTTTTCATATTTTAGCATGTAAATATTTAATTTAGGCCTAATAGCGCTATTTCAATTAATTTTGACGTTTTTACTTTATTTTAGTACGAGATAAATGAAAATTACAAAAAAATATTTTAGTTTATGTATTTTTCATAAATTTTGAAAAAAATACAAAAAATAGTACCTTATTTTTATCTTTATATAATATCGAAAACACAAAAAATAGTTTCATGTTTAGTTTAATTAATTAGGATTAGCTTTGGCATTGTGTAGTATTTTTATCTTATTTTAAAAGGAGTCAATTAAGGTGTTGGATCACAATTTTAAGAGTTTTAGAACCCAGTTCTTGGCCCAATTCGGGTTAGTCCATTAAGCCTAGGGACCCTTCTAGACTCTTCTTTAGAATAAAAACAAATAAAAAAGACCTTAAGGACTTAACACAAAAAGACCTAGGGACTAATTGGCAAAATACACAAAAATA